TCCAGAAGGCACCAAACCAAAACCTGGAGTGGACATAAGGGTGGTGAAAGGAGAGGGACATGTAATGTGTGAAATAATATAAACTAAAACGGGCCCATATAGGAAAAGCTTTGTGTTTTCAAATTAAATAAGATGGATGTAAGTTCAATGTCAATCGTGCTTACAGTTTCTTTCTAGCTTAGAGATTTAAAGCTGCTTTTTTCCTTTTTTATGCACATGTTCTTTATGCACATGATTATAACACGCTAAAAAGATTGTCTATATTTACAAAATATCTAGACATGAAATACATCATAATATGATTTATAAGACTAGTGCAAGTAATCACCCAATTTTACACTAAGTGTCGGAAAGTCTGGCTTTCAGCTTTCCAATATGCACATAGTTGTTTTAAATATATTTGAATAAGGTTTCTTTTGAAGCCTTATCATATATATAGAGGTAATTGTGTTAACTGAAACAGAATCCAAAAGCATTTGATGATATTTTTAAAAGTACAGAGATATGGCATTTCTTCAGTATGACAGATAAAAAATAAGTACCCGTCATTTGCAATAAAGCGACATTTGGGTAAAAAGTTTGCTTTGAAAATCCAATATCCTGTCCTTGATATGATAATAAACATGTATTGTTATAAAGTAGGATGTGAGTTTTCATTAATTTAATAATTGGGCAGCAAGTTGTCGGAATCATAAACACACTCCTCGCCGACCAATGTAAATAATTGATGTCGATCATTTCGATACTTCTTATCATAAATCAATAGAAATTATGGAGTTGAATAACTGTGATGAAACAGAACCTCTTTTAATCTTTCTCTCACATATAAAAAACAGAAACGAAATTGAGCCTGAACAAAATCATCAATATTTAGCCTGATTAATAGAAGATAGCCATTCATATTCGATAGCAAGTATTTTGAATTGTACAAATTCTCATATCATGCAGATAACACGCATCTATACATTGCTATTCTATGTGCAAGATAATATTTGCTTCTACTCTAAAGTACAGTCTCTTAGTCGTTGATTTTCCAATTTTTCACCTCTCTACTCCTCCTCTCGAACGTATGTTCGTCGCTAGAGAGCTGACTCTGGCTATTTACATGCCATAATAGCTACAAATGTTCATGAAATCAGCCTTGTTCTGACAGATGTACTTTACATGTACCTTGTAATCTGGCTACTATGAGCTTACAGTTAAATGTCAGTGCATTTTTAAAAACTATATTTTCAAATTGGCATGGAACTTTTTTATTAAATATAGTTGTAAGAATTATTAACATTCTTAAAATTTTAATTTGTTCACTTTTTGGCGCTAAAAGCTCTCGCGTCACGTTAACGTCGCCGCCTTTTTAGCGGAGTTTTCCGAAAGTTACATAAAAAGATTACAAACAAGTTTATTTTTGAAGACATTAACGGTAGCGATATTTGATGTAAAATATTATTATTACAGTAAATATTCAGGATTGAAGAAATTAATTAAATTGACAGGACACCATTGTTGAGAATCGCTACGCTACGCATAGCTACAATTATATGAACTTTGTAGATGTGAAATAAACGAAATTACAAGATTGCAGCACATTTCTTACTTGGTTTTCTGAATCCTGAACAATTCTCAACATTGTCGACTATATATCGCTAAAAGAAAATAATGGACTACGATACTGCACAGAAATCGCGGACAGCGCATTTGGCACAGTTAACCAAGATTTATAGAGAACTTGAAGAGTTGATGTTAAGCACTGAAAATGAGCAAAAAGTAAAAGAATTGTTTAATCGACTGTGCGAAAGATACGAAAAATTTAAAACAACACACTTTGAATGTTAAGACTTTTGCGACGATCCTAAAACTATAGAAACACTAAAGAAGAACTTTGAAAGTTGCCGAGCGAACTTTATAGAATTCAAGGAAAGATATGCCGAATGGAATCCCGTAGCATCATTACCCAGTAGTGCAGTTTCATCAACAACTCGGCTAAGAAACGCAAAAGTTAAGCGTCTGATAGCTGAACAAAAACTTAAGACTCTTAAAGAAAAACAAGCTTTGGAGAAGAAGAAACTGCGATTAGAGGCAATACAGAAGGGGCTCAAAGATAAATCGCAACTACTGGATCAAGAAAGTGCTGTGATGGAAGCGAGGCTGGAGGAGTCAATGTGGGCAGACGAAAGCACGGTGATAGAAGCAGACGACATATTAGAAGATGGGCATATTGTGCAGAAAACTATGGATTTTGGACGTACTTTTCGAAATGATAATGTAGCCGATAGCAATACGGCACGTTATTCTCGTGCTTGTCCCGGTAAAGATCACGAGGCTGCAGACGCACGTAAGTTCGAAGATGTAACGCAGCAAGATGGCGGAAATAGCGCTTCCGGTTAAGAAGTGGAACGACTTGCATCAATCATTCAAGAAGGATTTAATTTACCAAAACCAGAGTTACTGACATTCAACGGTTCTGCGCTTGATTATTGTAAGTTCATTAAAAATTTTGAGACCAAAATTGAGTGCAAAGTAAGTGACAATAGGTTAAGATTAAGTTATCTAATACAATATTGCACTGGTGAGGCAAAATCTTGCATAGAAGATTGTGTGTTATTTGATTCAAATGTAGGGTATAACCGAGCTAAATCAATTTTGCAATCTCGTTATGGTAGGCCACATGTTGTTGCGAGAAGTCATATTGATAAATTGTTGCTTGGCCCTAATATTAATGCATCTGATGTTAAAGGATTGTCTCAATTAGCTTTAGATATGCAAAAATGTCAAATGACACTTTCACAACTAGGGTTTGTTTCTGACGTAGATAACTCTGAGAATTTAAGGCGCATTGTAAGACGTCTCCCTATGCATTTGAGATTAAGATGGGCAGAGGTAGCCCACTCTATTTTTGAGTCAGGGAGAGAACATAATTTCTTTGAATTGACCAAATTTATTGATGAAAGGTCACGTGTTGCTAGTTCAGTTTACGGCATTGATGTTGTAAAAGAAAATGTCCGAGAAAAATAAAGCGTCTGCGTCAGGAAATACCACAAAAGGTAAAATAACTACTCTGTCTACATACACAGAAAACCAAACGTCAAAATACAGTAGAAAATGTTTTTGTTGTTCAGGTACATGTTCGAATATATCTTTATGTGATAAATTTAGAAAATTGTCTTTAGAAGATAGGAACAGGTTTGTCATAAAATCTAAATTGTGTTTCAATTGCCTCAAACCCAATCATATGTCACGCAAATGTAGGCGGGATAAATTATGCACTGTGTCTGATTGTACCACCTAACACCATTATCTTTTACACAATTGGTCCCCAAAGCGTCCCGATAATTCAATAACCCAACCTGTTGTTAATTGTGCGGCAGTTAATGGTTCATTTGCTAAAACCTGTCTAGGGATCATACCTATAACTGTAAAGGGTGGGAACGGTTACTCTTGCCAAACTTATGCTCTGCTCGACGATGGAGCAGACAAAACGCTTTGTGATGAAAGTCTTATACAGCAGTTGCATCTGACCAGCCGGCCTGTCATCTTCCAGATATCGACCATTAGCTCGACCGGAAGTACAACTTGCGGACAGGAAGTTGATCTCAGCGTTTGGCCAGTTTCTGGAAATGGTGAAATTCACCTTAACAATGTTTGGACGGTTAAACAGTTACCTATCTCTACCCGCTCTGCAGTGACAAGTGATGACATTTTTGGCGTTCCATACTTGTCCGATTTACAAATTCCCAAAGTAAAGGCTAATGAAGTCCGGATTTTAATTGGTACAGATTTCCCCGAAGCACATATTCCACTTGAAGTGCGTTCTGGAAGCAGTCATCAGCCATATGCTATAAGGACACGACTTGGTTGGGCAGTTCGTGGGCCAGTCCCTCGTCCTTTTGTAGAACAGAACAGAAAAAAACATAACAGAGCAAATATAAACTTTGGTCATTCAAATGACATAATACTGCAACAACAGCTCGAGCGTATGTGGACGTCTGACTTCAACGATGTTAAATTCTGCGATAAAGAGTCAATGTCCATCGAAGATAAAAGAGCGTTGGACATTATGGAATCATCCCTTTCATATGTAGATGGTCACTATAAGATGGGATTACCTTGGCGTGCAGACGATATAAACTTACCAAATAATTTAGCATTAGCCTATGCACGTTTGAATCAACTTAAACACAAATTGTCTCGTGATAAATATTTACATGAAATGTACACCAAAACGGTTAGTGAGTACATTAATAAAGGTTATGCAAAAGAGGTAGATAATAACGGTACAAACTCTAAGCGCATATGGTACTTACCCCACCACCCTGTGATGAACGTTAACAAACCAGGAAAGGTTCGTGTGGTATTTGACTGTGCCGCGAAATACAACGATACTTCATTGAATAGCCAGCTCCTTCAAGGTCCAGATTTAATGAACAGTTTAGTAGGGGTACTTTTAAGATTTCGTGAGAAAAAGATAGCTCTGTCTGCTGATATAGAGGCTATGTTCCATCAAGTTCATGTGATTGAAGAAGACTGTCACGCACTCCGGTTCCTATGGTGGCCTGATGGGGACATGTCTGTACTTCCTAAAACTTACTGTATGCAGGTGCATCTGTTCGGTGCCACATCATCTCCTAGCTGTGCAGCTTATGCATTCAGAAGAACAGCCAGTGACAACGCGAATAAATTTCCAGATGAAGTTATAGAAACTGTTAAAAGAAACTTCTATGTCGATGATTGCCTGAAATCTGTAGATTCAGAAGAGAAAGCGACAAAGCAGCGGATTTACAGTCACTGATGAAAATGGGAGGTTTTAGACTTACAAAGTGGATCAGCAACAGTAGGTCAGTCATTGATACAATTCCCGATTATGAACGTGCACCAACGATTGTTAGCCTCAGTCCCGAAGATGAACTTTCTTATGATCGTGTATTAGGCATTAATTGGAACGTTAATGACGATTTCATCACATTCAAAATCAAAAAACAAATAAACCTGTAACTAGACGCGGAATGCTTTCCATAGTTAGTGCGATATTTGATCCACTAGGACTTTTAGCACCAATGACATTACGAGCAAAGGCTATCGTTCAAAGCTTGTGTAGAAGGAAATTTGGTTGGGATGAAGCAATTCCGCAAATCGATCACGATGAATGGCAACGTTGGATATTAAACTTACCTTGTTTGGAAAACGTTCGAATAAGCCGTTGTTTTCAACCAAAATATTTCAGTATTTTAAAAAATATACAGTTACACGTGTTCAGCGATGGTTCTGAGACGGGTTACGGCGCATGCGCATATTTACGCATTACTGACGAAAATGATAACACTGCATGTTGTCTAGTGCTTGGCAAGTCCCGACTCGCCCCGATAAAACAAGCTTCGATACCGAGACTCGAACTGTGTGGAGCTGTTGTGTCATGCCGTCTGTATGCCATGCTGAAAGAAGAACTTGATTTGAAAGTTGACAAAGTTGTTTTCTGGACAGATTCAATGATCATTCTTGGATACATCAATAACACTTCAAGACGTTTTAAGACTTTCGTCGGGAATAGAATTAGTTATATTCATGAAATGACGAGTCCAGAACAGTGGCACTATATCGACTCCAGTTCGAACCCCGCTGACATAGCATCAAGAGGCATAGATCCTGGCGATAAAACTAGCATTTCTTTCTGGCTAAATGGACCAGACTATCTGGCGCAGGACGAGTCTACTTGGCCTAAATTTGTAAACATAAACGATATCGCCGACGACGACTCCGAAATTAAAAGAGACGTAGCAATAAATACCACTGGGGTATACACTGGGCTGACTATAGGAGACATTATCAACCATTATTCATACTGGAACAGACTACTAAGAGCGTTTGCTTGGTTACAGAGGTTTGTGACATACTGCAGAAGTCAAAATAAAAATGAACAAAATTGTGAAGACCTCAAACTAGCTGAGATACAAAATGCTACTCATGAAATTGTTCGGTATGTACAGAAAATCAATTTCCAACAAGAAATAAAAGACTTATTGAAAGGAAACGCCGTAAAAAAAGAACAGCAGATTAGCTATGCTTAACCCTGTGATTAAAAATGGACTCATCCGAATGTCTGGGAGACAAATTTACACTGACTATGAAAAAGCCCCTATAATTCTTCCCCACAATGATCTCGTGACAGAGCTGATAATTCACAATAGCCATAGCAGCAATGGACATGTAGGATGGTAACACGTTCTAGCAGAAATACGGTCAAAATTTTGGATTTTACATGGTTCTAGTGCTGTTAAAAAGACCATGGGAAAATGCATTGCTTGTAAACGACAGAAAGGTCCATTACTCACTCAACAGATGGCGCCACTAATCCCAGAGCAGACGACATCTTGCAAATAGCCGTTTATATTTGTCGAAGTGGACTACGTTGGACCATTGATAGTAAAATTAGGTCGATCTAGCGTTAAAAGATATGGTTGTCTGTTTTCTTGCTTGACAACGAGAGCAGTGCATATAGAAGTAGCCCATAGTTTGACAGCAAATTCATTCATAGCTGCCTACCAGCGTTTTACATGCAGACGTGGACAACCAGAGAAAATGTTTAGTGACAACGGTACCAACTTAATTAGTGGAGACAAAGAACTTAAGAAATCCTAGAAGAGTGGAACCAGTCTAAGATCGGCAGATATCTGTTACAGAATAAGGTATAGACTGGCACTTTAATCCACCATACGCGATCAATATGGGTGGGGCATGGGAGAGAATGATAAGATCTACACGCACCATTTTGAAAGCTTTTGCCAAGGAACAACTTTTAACAGACGAGAAATTACTCACTTTCATTGCAGAAACAGAAAGAATTCTAAATGATAGACCAATCACTTCCAAGAGTAGCGACCCTAGAGATCTTCCAGCGCTCACACCAAATATGCTTCTTTTAATGAAAAGTAATGCGAGTATTCCAAGAGGTGTTTTTGAAAAAGAAGATGTATACAGTAAAAAATGGTGGAAACAGATACAATATTTGAGTGACGTATTCTGGAAAAGATGGATCAAAGAGTACCTACCTTCTCTTCAGAACCGACAAAAATAGCAGAGAGAAACAAGAAACATGAAAGTGAACGACATCGTACTTGTAGCAGACGATACCATTCCACGAGGGCAGTGGCCACTTGGCAGAGTAACTGAGGTTTTTAAGGGTAGGGATGGGCTTGTACGCAAATGCCTTGTCCGTATAAGAAATTCAAATGTCCTCAGACCAATAACAAAATTGTGTCTTTTAGAAGGCACAGAGTAAATAATAGTTGCGTTAACATTTTGTCAAAATACATTTACTGATGTACAAAAGCCTTCTTTAATTTAGTTTTGTTTGTTTATTTATATATATATATATATTTTTTTTACGCGTGGATTAGACATTTTAACAACCCAAAAAAGAATTTGATAAACTATAATATGTATTGTACTTCTTGCAAGAGCATGTTCTTACCATGACTAGATAGCGGTTGTAAATTATAATAATTGCAAAATTTAAAAATTGCAATCTTTGATGATATTTATATTTGTGTCATGTTATACATTTTTCAAAATAATTACGTATATATGTGTATTGGTTTTTTTTTTTAATATTTATTATTATTTTCATTTACAAAAAATATTAAGTATGTAGATTTATACATTTTTGATACATATACACAACGTTTTAGTATTATTTTTTTTCCTTACTAGTTTTTCTTCTACATTATTTTCAAATCATATATATTTGATAAGTAAATTATTGATATTTTGAGAAAACAAAATTTGCTTAAATGCTATTCTTATTTGATGAAATTAAGATATTTCATGGAGGGCACTGTAAGAATTATTAACATTCTTAAAATTTTAATTTGTTCACTTTTTGGCGCTAAAAGCTCTCGCGTCACGTTAACGTCGCCGCATTTTTAGCGACGTCACGGACGGCAGAGTTTTCCGGAAGTTACATAAAAAGATTACAAACAAGTTTATTTTTGAAGACATTAACGGTAGCGATATTTGATGTAAAATATTATTATTACAGTAAATATTCAGGATTGAAGAAATTAATTAAATTGACAGGACACCATTGTTGAGAATCGCTACGCTACGCATAGCTACAATTATATGAACTTTGTAGATGTGAAATAAACGAAATTACAAGATTGCAGCGCATTTCTTACTTGGTTTTCTGAATCCTGAACAATAGTTAAACTTTTATTAAATTTGAGTCATTCTCGTATTTGTAAATAATTATAATTTAAAATTGTTATTTACTTACGAACTTTTACGTATAAAACAAAAATAAATAAAAGACACATAGTAGCCATTTGAACAATAATATGAGCAATGGCAAAGTGCACGTTAAGGAATTTATACTCCACCAAAAGAATTGAGTTATAATATTGTCCTAACCATGGTTTTCCAATGGACACAAATGCCAACAAGAAGATTCTCAATAAAGTAAAAGGAATATAAAAACGACGCGTTTTTGAACGTGTTTTTTATTGAAGTTTTAACAATTTTTTTTGCAATAAGATAATTATAATATAGGTCCCTTTGATTAAAAATGTGATTTTGTGATAGACCCTACGTCTGCGATGTAGCCAGTTATATGTACACTTGCATGATCAGAAGTCGTATATTATAAAAGCACGTGCATTTCAAATAATGAAATTATCTTTTGATCGCATGGTAGACAGATCGGCTATATTGCACAATCTTATATAACTAATTCAAAGACTCGTGTCGTCAAGAATCATTCAGCGAAGCTAATGTATATCTGAAACTGTTAAGAAATATGAAATAAAATCAATCTTTATCTTTTATACTTAATTTTAAATTCAAAATGATATAACCGCGGATATTGCGTGGGCTGCATCACTAAACGTACTTTATGATCTTTTCCTTATTTTATCAATGAAGAAAAGAATATAAACTTTGTTTACATTGTTTCCAGAGTTTTATACTTCACAACAGCAGGTGTCAAGTGCCGTGTGGCAGCTGTAAAAAAGTGCCCCGTACTTAACTTCAGTGAAGTTACATTTTGCTGGTCCTTCGGGATCATTGATGCCAGCACTAATAAGTGTTGAGAATTGAGTACCGCTCAAGTCGGTGCTAGGTGGCGTGAGGAATATTTTACTTATTCATTATCCCTCATGTACAGACTCAATCAAATTCTGTCTGCACTTTTCATGTTATTTTGTTGTGATTATTGCTTCCAAGGGGTCACATTGTTTCCAGATTTTAACAAACTTTGTTTCTTTGAAATATCTTGTAATAATAAACTGCACTTCCATCCAAAGTAATTTTAAAATGTAAACTGATAAGTTGATAACTAGATTGTTATATACAGATGGAAGTTGATAATAAAACAGATTATGGTGGTGTCCCAAAAGTTTTACTTTTATTGAACGGAACACCTTAATGCGAATGGTGCGCTGATAAATCATTTTCTTTTGCAAGGGAAACTTTAATGCAATGATATGACAACATATCATTTTGTAATGAAAACTAACATATTTTAAAGCTGCTTTCCCATCGTTAGAACACGTTACATTTGCAAAATGCCTAAAGATTGAATAGGTAATAACACAATTTATCAGTGCAAATAATCACCCAATTTTACAATAAGTGTCACAAAGTCGGCTTTCAGCTCCTTTAGAATATGCACATAGTTGTTATGAATATATTTGAATAAGGTTTCTGTTGAAGCCATATTATATATTGAGGATAAATGTGCTAATTGAGAGGGAATCTAGAAGAATTTGATGTTATTTGTAACGGTACAGAGATATGCCATTTCTTTAAAAATTATTGTAAGAACAGGTCGAATCAAAATATAGAATTACTTGTTAACAACAGACGTCTTTATAGAATAGCTAAGAGGCGAGCACGTACTAAATTTCATTTAAATCAGAGAAAGAAAATGTCATTTTTAGCTGGCACGCAGCCACAAAAGTTTTGGAAGGAAATAAAAAAAATGAGAAAGAAATCAAGCAAAAATGAACTGTCATCGGAAATTTTTTTGAGCATTTTTAAAAACTTACTTAGAAACGAAGAGACATTCAAAATTTATTTCGTTGAGGAAGGTTTAGATAATAATGATATATTTTACAACAATGTTGAAGAACTTGGCATGGATTTCACAATCGATGATGTGGTAAAGGCTATTTTTTCCCTTAAGAGTGGTTAAAGTGCTGGTATAGATAATTTTTTTCCGGACATATTTATTGAATGCAAAACAATTTAAATCTAAGCACCAATATTATGTAAATTGTTTAATCATAATTTCAATTCAAATGAATATCCTGAATCGTGTTGTAATGGTATTATGTACCAGTGCCCAAGAAGGGTAATCTAAATGATGTGAATAATTACAGGGGTATCACCCTTACTAGTATATTTTCTAAACTTTTCTCAATATTGTTAGACATGAGATTACGTAAATGGGCCGAAAGTAATGAAATATTGAATGACTTCCAGTATGGTTTTAGGAAAGATAAAAGTACTACTGATTGCATTTTTGTTTTATGTTCAATTATTAATAAGATAATACGTCATGAAAAGAAAAAGGTATATGAATCATTTATTGATTTCAAAAAATGTTTTGATATGTTATACAGAAATGGAATATGGTTTAAATTGATTGAATCTGGTGTATCATATAAAGTTGTAACAATGTTACGAAGTATGTATAATTGTGTGAAATCTTGTGTAAGAGCAAATGGTTGCCTGACAGATAATTTTGAGAGTTATATGGGCTTAAAACACTCTCACCATTGTTATTTATTTTCTTCGTAAATGATATGCACGAAAATTTACAAATAGATAATGTTGATACATTTTCATTAGATAATAAACAAATATTTTTACTATTATTTGCGGACGATACAGTTTTATTCTCTTATTCTAAGGAAGGATTGCAATGCCTCCTTAATAAACTTCATACATATTGTACTAAGTGGGGTATTGTTGTGAATGTAGAAAAAACGGTTGCTATGGTTTTTAAATCTGGAAATAGAAATGAAAATGTAGAGGTATATTACAATAATGAGCTACTTAGCGTTGTTAA